TATCTAAAGGGTACCGTGGATTATGAACTCTGCTTTAAGAAATCTGATGCTGACTTGCAGCTCACTGCTTATAGTGATTCAGATTGGGCCTCTTGCCTGAAAGACAGGCGAAGTACTACAGGTTACTGTTGTACTCTAACTGAAGGAGGACCACTGATTTCATGGAAGTCGAGAAAGCAACCAACGGTTGCCATTTCCACTTGCGAAGCTGAATATGTAGCTTTAGCAAATACAGCTCAAGAGTGTTTGTATCTAACTCAATTGTTAAACGGTATGTATAAGAAAGTACATCAGAGTATGAAGATAAGTGTTGATAACCAAGGGGCAATTGCACTAAGTAAGAACCCAGTTAACAGACAACGTTCTAAGCATATTGACATAAAGTACCACTTTGTACGTGAAATGTATGTTAAAGGCATGATCGATATTGTATATTGTCCTACCCAAGATATGGTAGCTGATATCCTAACAAAGCCACCCACAAAATGTAAACTAGATAATTTTAAAAGTATCGTGTTCGGTTGTGGTAATTAGTTTATATTCTGATAACAAGTGAGGGTGTTGAGTTCAATATAAAACTGTACGTTATCCAAATATTAGTATGACGTAATACTGAGAGACAAATGCATGATGGGATTGTGGTGTTGTTAGTTGAACTTCCTCGTGAAAGCAACTTACTGTACAAAACTACATTTGTAATAAACGTGAAAATAAACAGTGATTTCATTACAAATACGGTGTTCTAAAGTCATGGCTTCTACATCTAATATTCAATATTTTTCAATGGGAGGACTACAATGACAATAAAATAAAACGGCAACTGTCTTTTATTGCTTGCGTGTTTATAAATTAATTATTAGCATGACAAAATTACTGGATGCTGATTGGTTGAGAGGAATACAATTATTTCATTAATTGTACTGCAGTACAATTAATGATTTTCCCAAAACAAACAAAATGGCGGAAAGGTATTTTAAACATAAATGTGAAATGATATTGCCCTAGAAGAAGTCCGAACTAGATGAAAAGACGAACAAAAGCGCCAAATTTTTCTTTAACAAAAGCAATAAATGAAAATACGAACAAAAGCACCAAATTTTGGTTGAAAGTATGGCAGAACTGGGCTTTGGCGAGAGAATGTGATGTTGACATTGACATTGAGAAGTATCCAATTTTGTCACGCTCGTGATGTTTGCAAATTTGCCAAATTGGACTCGCCCCGGCGGCTCGTCCAATTTTGGCAAAATTTCGAAACATCACTCGTACTATTAATCCCTAATTGTACTCGCCATCGCATGATTACCTATACTAATTCCTATTCTTCAAAATTCGAGATGACTCACACACCATTGGCACAAAGGTAACAGGTACTAATTCATGACGATATTCAAAGATTTTGTTGTATGTTATGTTGTTTTGTATCAGATATTGCGAACAAGTGGCAGCCAAATTTATTTCCAACCAATGCAATTCATATTAACTCGGACCATCACAATCGTAAATTATAGTAAAGTAGAGTAAAATATATTATAATTCGCTTGGGTAAAAATATGGAAAATATTTTTAATAGCAATTGCTCTGTTTGTTTATGACAATATACAGCCCCGTTTCCCCGTGTTTACTTAGCTGTATGCCAGTTACGATATTGTTATGCTACGCCGCACCTTCTTTTATTCAGCTGCTATTCACATACACAGAGAAAAGATTAACTGCTACACCATTTGAATGATTATAACGTTTTATAACTTTTTTTTACTTTTGCACTATATTCCGAGGATAAATGATTTATATGATGAATTAAGGTGTCACGTGACCATTCTGAACCAGGGTCTCTGCTGGATCGTGTTTGGGAGGGAAAGGGAGGTACTTGCGAGGTTGGTCGTTTGCTTGATTTAGTGATTTACACTATACACATGCAGTACAACTGAACTTGCGAGCAGGGTGCATTACAGTTTTAGGCAAAATTAAGTTGTTTAGTGTAAATCGGCCTTTTAATATACCCATATAGCTGCATGCATGCACTGCAATATATTCCATGCTGAGGTAAACGGACATTTTTCGGAGAAACAAATGCTAATGAAAATTTATGCTCAAACGTAGTCCAACGTCGACGATCGGAGTGGCTTTCTTTGCGCATTATTGACGACCGATTCTTTATCAGAATAATATATGTTTCTGATCGTATTCGAGATGGCGTATTGCGTGAGAAACCTATACGCCGCTTATGTCGGCTTGGAAGACGGTTTTAAGATTAGTGGAATAATCTCACATTTATATTGTTTCTCTCTTGTTTAAGAGAGGACATATCAAGGCTAGCCAGTTCTGACAATTATTGAGCATAGAAGATAGTTTTGGTGTCCTATACACCCTATATATACAATGGACGAATTATTTCATTACTCACCTTTAATGAACTTGGCCTGTAAGGGAACGTTACTTAGTCGATTAGTCGACGTCTTCACGAGACTATGATTCGCGACAAACGATATAAAGCAATAAATATTTCAAACGTCAAGAGGATACAATTTAAACTATTTTGAACAATATTTATAATATTATTATGCAAATTTAAACATTAAGAAACATGCATGACAGTGGCCAAAAAAGGAAATAAATGTCAATATTTAATCTGGCCAAAGATGGATAACAAAACTATTTTTAAAATAATTCAATTATTATAGCTGACATGCACGCGCGCTGTCAGAGCGTGCTCGTAGGTACGGTGAAGTGACAGGTGCAGTAATAGGCCTATATGACGTACAGGAATGGTGGCTTGTGTACACCATATATCGTGTTATTCTGCCACCAAAAACGACGACAGAATAACTCTCTTGGAGTTGATTCAAATCCTTTAATTTAATTAAAGTGTGAATGCTTCAATTACTGCGTCATATAATCAGCCACAGCGTCCAGTCCTTAATCGTATAAGCTAGACATAATTAATTAAACTGTATATATTTCGAATAAATTTCGATTTATCATCAGCAATTTCACGTACGTTAGTGCATTTTCGTGAAATTTAACTGCTTTTTTAACCGATAAACTATTCAACTGATTACTTATAGTCTCGCGGGCTTTGAAATGAAAGAAACTTTAAATTATATATATACAGCTCGCTAAATACAGTTATGAAAATATAAATTTGCTCTCCTTGCCATTATAGGAGCTATAAAGTTATTGGTGGTGAGAAAGGAGCTCTATTCGTTGGGGGCTGTCTCGACATTTCCAAAAATTATCAACAAAGTAATTATATATAGATATATAGTATAAATTTAAATGCCTCAGTACTTCAATTGAAATCTTGTGATATAATTATGGAAACTTTATTAGTGATTTTTTAGCTAGTTTATAAGGTAATTCACAACCGTCTACTTGAATCAACAATACCTATAGGCATACACAATATAAAATAACATACAACAAATATATAGTACAATTATTACGGCTACGGCGACGCCGATGAGAGGAGTGATGGTGAATGATGGTGATACGATGATGATTATTCTCCACTAAAATCTCTGTCGCATCCCCAGGTCGTGTAGGTGCTACAATAATTCTCAAAAGTTATTGGGACACTTGCAGTTTAAGATCACCGGCCGATAAATGCAGATTATTACAAACATGTTTATCTCCCTCCCCATTCAATGTTGTTTATACTAAAACTGTCTGTACAAGTGTTGGTAGTACCAATGTGAAAATGCTGTGCTGAGTGGTTATATTACTACCTTAAAAAATAAGCAGAAACTCGACGTTTCGAGCGAAGGCCCTTCGTCAAAAGTTAGTAGCAGGGATCGGGGAAAATGCACGGGCTTTTATACTAAGAGTATGAAAGCATCACGTGACAAAAAAATAAACCAATTAGATGGATTTAATAATAACAAAGTGTAAACAAAATATGTAAATCGCATTACAGAATATAATAAAATTAAAAATATATAAAAATAAAAAGGAAGTTAAGACAATTACTACAAAAAATAATAATCAAAACGAAACACGAGTGGGAATAAGGTAAAAGTAAAAAATAGAAGTTGTCAATGTCAATCTGTTATAGACAGGCAAAGACAGATGGCATCATAGACAAAACAAAAGACATGCCTTCTGGATTGTCTATGATGGCATTAAACATAAGAAAAGCGTTGATTAATGCCAGAAGGGTGAACAGTGCCAAGTTTGGATATGAGGCGCATTTCATGTCGTTTGCGGCTATCGTTGCTTCCAGAAATGGGACAGAGGGCTCGAATTAACATATCTGAAACACTGTGATTGCCATCATTAAAATGTCTGGCAACAGGTTGGTTAGCATGATTGCCAATAACTGCACGCCGATGCTCACCAAACCGTGTCCTTAAACATCTTCCAGTTTCCCCAATGTAAAGCATGCCACATCTGCTGCAAGAGATGCAGTAGATGAGATGGGAGGAGGCGCACGTGAAATGGTGCTTGATGTGAAATTCAGATTTAGGTGCCGAAACAATAGTGGTGGAATCTATAAAATCACAGGTTTTACATTTCGACGACAGGCAAGGAAAAGTGCGTTTCTGTGACGTCGAAGCCTGTGTTAGGGAGCTATGGACAAGGGTTTCACGGATATTTTTGCTGTGTCGAAAAGAGACTAAGGGGTTATCGGAGAAAATGGAAGATGTTTCAGGGTCGTTTTTCAAAATATGGAAATTCTTGTTGATGACATCTCTAACTTTGAAATTGAAAGGATGATAGTTTAATACTAGCGGGATTTTGTTGTTGCCTGTGACATTAGACACAGAGTCTGTGAGGGTGTCAGAACGGGGAATTTGGGAGGCCTTCGAAAAGGCAGTGTCTAATAGAGAGGTAGGATAACCACACTGGACAAAAAAGTGTCTCATCTCCAGACTTTTGGCCTGAAAATCTTCGTCTTCACTGCAGATGCGGCGAAGACGAAGGAACTGAGAAAAGGGAATCGACCTTTTGGTGTGGTTGGGGTGGGAAGAGGAAAATAGAAGATAGCTATGGGAGTCAGTGGACTTGTTGAACACAGAAGTAGATAATTTGTTACCATTGATTGATACAAGGATATCTAAGAACGATACACTGGTCTCACTGATCTCCCATGTGAACTGGAGTGCTGGATGAAAATTATTAACAAAGTTAATAATTATTAACAACTGTGGTGATGGTTAACAACTGTGGTGATGTTGGTGAAGCTTGATTTATAACATAGATATAAAGTGATGATACTGGTGATATATGAGTTGTAAAATGATATGAAATATAAGTGATATATAAGTCTGAACATTCAAGCTAAAATGAGACATGAATAGTAAAACTGTGACGTGTATGACTCGATTGATTGTTTTTGTGAAGATCGCGCAGGCATAACCCGGGTGCGTTTATAATGTGAGATGTATTGTGATGATGCCAAGACCTGGGTGAATGCCAATGTATCGCCACCCAGGTCAAGTCCCATGTGTTTTGTGTTCAAAACTAAGGTTATGTTCTCATCAGGCTCCAAGCATAACCGGGAAAGCACGTTTCGACCCCGCTAGCTGGTCTTGGAACTACGTGCTCGCATATAAATATTCATTTCTGTTCCTTTGATGAATTATACATGTTTTGCGCGAAAAAATCTGTTGATTATTTCGTCTAGGAACAGTGTGAATGTTAGTTGAATTTGGTATGTGTGCTTTGTGGTGGGTGAAAATGATATGATTCTAATGCGTGATGTGTTGATTGTTGGTTTGGGAATGTAAAAATTGAAATTTACTTACTCGTATAACTGTGGTGAACCGTACCTTGCGTGTAGGCAAGGCGAAAAGGAATTCTTGGGAGGAGAGGGGTTCTAAAATTACGCACGGGGGGGGGGGAAGACGAATCCTAAAATGTAGGGGGTTTGATTAGAGTGGGCTTAGTTAGGGTAGGGTTAGTTGATAGGGTAGGGTTTGGATTATAAGGGTTGGGAATAAGTTTTTGGATTAAGGTTCCGGTGGGGATTGGGTTAGGTTTGGGATTACTGCTCAGAATAGTGGATTGAAAAGTGTTGAATAGGGAGTGGGCCTGGGAAGTTTCGAGTGGGTTGGGTGTATCGATGTTGTGTGAATGTGTTTCTGATGAAAGTGGAAACATCGGTTGAAAATAATATTGAAAGTTGTTTCAAATGGATAGCGAAGGATATATTGATGTTTTGATAGCTTCGTGGCAGAGTTTGTGACAGAAGATTTTTTGCCACAAAATTTGTCTTCCGTCTACTTCTCGTTCTTTGAAAGGTGAACGATAGTTCGAAATGGATGTGACGGTGGTGAGTGTTAAGTAGTGTGAATGCTCCGTGGCACAGTTTGTGACAAAAAGTTTATTTATTCGCGTCGAATTGGAACGCTTTATTAACTTTGTTAATAATTTTCATCCAGCACTCCAGTTCACATGGGAGGTCAGTGATACCAGTGTATCATTCTTAGATATCCTTGTATCAATCAATGGTAACAAATTATCTACTTCTGTGTTCTACAAGCCCACTGACTCCCATAGCTATTTTCTATTTTCCTCTTCCCACCCCAACCACACCAAAAGGTCGATTCCCTTTTCTCAGTTCCTTCGTCTTCGCCGCATCTGCAGTGAAGACGAAGATTTTCAGGCCAAAAGTCTGGAGATGAGACACTTGTCCAGCGTGGTTATCCTGCCTCTCTATTAGACACTGCCTTTTCGAAGGCCTCCCAAATTCCCCGTTCTGACACCCTCACAGACCCTGTGTCTAATGTCACAGGCAACAACAAAATCCCCCTGGTATTAAACTATCATCCTTTCAATTTCAAAGTTAGAGATGTCATCAACAAGAATTTCCATATTTTGAAAAACGACCCTGAAACATCTTCCATTTTCTCCGATAACCCCTTAGTCTCTTTTCGACACAGCAAAAATATCCGTGAAACCCTTGTCCATAGCTCCCTAACACAGGCTTTGATGTCACAGAAACGCACTTTTCCTTGCCTGTCGTCGAAATGTAAAACCTGTGATTTTATAGATTCCACCACTATTGTTTCGGCACCTAAATCTGAACTTCACATCAAGCACCATTTCACGTGAGCCTCCTCCCATCTCATCTACTGCATCTCTTACAGCAGATGTGGCATGCTTTACATTGGGGAAACTGGAAGATGTTTAAGGACACGGTTTGGTGAGCATCGGCGTGCAGTTATTGGCAATCATGCTAACTAACCTGTTGCCAGACATTTTAATGATGGCAATCACAGTGTTTCAGATATGTTAATTCGAGCCCTCTGTCCCATTTCTGGAAGCAACGATAGCCGCAAACGACATGAAATGCGCCTCATATCCAAACTTGGCACTGTTCACCCTTCTGGCATTAATCAACGCTTTTCTTATGTTTAATGCCATCATAGACAATCCAGAAGGCATGTCTTCTGTTTTGTCTATGATGCCATCTGTCGTTGCCTGTCTATAGCAGACATTGACAACTTCTATTTTTTACTTTTATCTTATTCCCACTCGTGTTTTGTTTTGATTATTATTTTTTTGTAGTAATTGTCTTAACTTCCTGTTTATTTTTATATATTTTTAATTTTATTATATTCTGTAATGCGATTTACATATTTTGTTTACACTTTGTTATTATTAAATCCATCTAATTGGTTTATTTTTTTGTCACGTGATGCTTTCATACTCTTAGTATAAAAGCCCGTGCATTTTCCCCGATCCCTGCTACTAATTCTTGACGAAGGGCCTTCGCTCGAAACGTCGAGTCTCTGCTTATTTTTTAAGGTAGTAATATAACCACTCAGCACAGAATGTTGTTTATACCCTATCCAGACACACCAAAGTAAGATGCTAACTGACACCCAGCATTGAAAATGGGGCGGAGAGAATCCAAATCATCTATTTCAACCCCATCGTCATCGATCGTCGTTGAAACGAAAAGTCGTGTAAAATGTTTATAAAGTATAATGTAGCTGACCAGAAATACAATCATTAAACCTAAGTAACATATTTGTGTAGTAAATCTATGGTCGTTGCTCGTGTTCAATTTCTTCTTTTTCTTCGTGTGATGTGAGTCAAGAACTCATCAAATTTGCAGTGGGATATAAGGCTTCCTTGCTGTGAGCCCAATATCGACCATAACAACCATACGGATTTTACAAGAAAATGTAAGGTATTTTCCAGCTCAAACGTCATAAATACCAGGGTCAAAACTCCCATTTTCCACAATAGGCAGTTCCAATGCGTGTAAAGTAAGTGGGTGTAAAACTTAGAATGGGAATTTCTAAAATTGAGTTTTGGAGCTTTATATGAAAATCATATAGATATAAATTAAATTAAGCATTCATGCAGCGATTTAAGGCCTAAAACAAAACCGAATTTGACTTCAAAAAGCAAGAAATAACCATTCTGGATTTGTGAAGTTCAAAATTTTCAGAACGAATACGTATGTTTTCGGACCTCCATATAGCTATTCAGCCAAGCAATACGTCATGACCTTCTTCTCGTTGAAATGGGCATTTTTAAATATTTCTTAGAATGACCCTGAAATAGGCATGGATAGAGATAACTACTTGATATGTACAGTTTCCTCTTTTAATACTGTAAGTGCCAACCAGAACCGTGGGTAGAATGGCCATGTTGAATTTAAATGCGCCGGAGCATATGGAGTCTGGGACTAGATCCGATTTGGATTTTTCATTATTACAAGATGTTTCAACAAAAAGGTGAGATATATAGATATAAATATATAGATGGATTTAGGCGGCTATATTCAATTGAAAAAAAGCGGGAAGAAATTTAAATTAAACTCTAAAATAAAGTGGGGCACATGCAAACCAAACAATCAATTAAACAAAAAACATGGAAAACTCTGGCTCCGATCGACGCATTTATATTCAATATGGCGGCCAGCATGCCAAGTCAGGATTTAGCCGCACGTATAAATGGTGGAATAGCCGAAATATTGATGGCATGGATTGCTACTCTCACTTATTACCCCATATTTTTATTTACAACTACATTACGAAATTACAAACATTTGCATCGTTACGTGCTATATATTTTTTCAGACATAAACGATCATTAATAATCAAGCAAGTGGTGATACTAATTACTGTTACAACTAACCACCGTGTGTCATCCGTGCACTAATTTTCTAGTATCTGTGTTTGACGCCGATCTGATTGTGGAATTGTTTCCATCGTTGACTGTATTTTGTGTAATAGATGTCGAAGAGTGTGCCACAATGGTTGACGTCGTAAGCAGGTTAACCAGGCCAACCAATTTTGTATCTCTTGCTGCATCTTTCTTTCACCAGCCAGAAAATATTCCTTAATTTAATTGAAGTTGAAGACATTTCTTGACTGCCTGTCATTTTCTCCAAAGCGAATGGCCACGGTTTACTTTTACCCAGTTTGAGCATTGCACTTCTCCATGGCGACACGAGTCCTGATCCCAGAAATGTTGTTGGATTCATACAATACAACAACGAAGCCGTTCTACCCATTATCTCTGCCACAGTAAAATGCCACAACAACAAGTGCGGAAAGGCAAGCGTGTTTTATGACAGTGGTGCTCAAGTCAATATGATTAGAGATGACTTTGCTAAAGAACTATAGAAACCAGTGCCGTAGCCAGCTCGATAATTTGGGGGGCAGATATTCATATATTCGTGTTTGCAGACCATAAAAACAATGGATTTCAAAAGAAATTAATAACGCAGAACACGAATATATGAATATCTGCCCCCCCCCCCCAATTATCGAGCTGGCTACGGCACTCCTAGAAACTTTGGGACTAGAAAGCAAACCTGTAACAATTTTCATTGCCAAACTAGGAGAGACTGAGCACGAATTAAACACCAAGTTATACAAGGTACCGATGTATGCCGCAAATGGACGAGCAATTCAAACAATTGGAGTGGTAGGTGTTTTCCAAATCTCGCACGATACAACAACAATTAATGTCAACCAAGTTTCAGAAATGTTCGGCCTACCAAAGAATGAATTTCATCGAAAACCAGGACTCCAATTAAAATGTCAATGGGTCCTGGTTTTCGATGAAATTCATTCTTTGGCAGGCCGAACATTTCTGAAACTTGGTTGACATTAATTTATTGTTGTTGTATCGTGCGAGATTTGGAACTATCCAACCGTTTATGCAGGTAAACCAAAGTCAAGGATGTAGCGCGTAAGAGTCCGTTAGGATGGATCATATTTTTTGGATGAAGTCCCAACGTTCACTTCCTGAAAGGGATGTGGCAATATAAATTAACTTTGTTTTATTTGAAAGAACTTTTAAAGTTATATATGAAGAGCCTTTATCACTTTTTCGTACCTTGCTTGGTTTTCGAAATATTTTGACCAAAAACAGTGCGCAGCCCGCCATCTTGGTATTATAATTAACCTAATTAACTGAGTTCTTGATGACGTCAAACACAGGGTAAACTTGTTAAAATTTCTTCATATAGGACTAAATTTCTTCAAAAAGTTTCTTAAAATGTTGTGAGTTGATTGAGTACTAAAAAGATTTCGGAAAATCGAGTCATATTGATAATAACATGTGGTTTGCAAGATAAAAATTTCGCTTTTCACCCTATACTTGTGACGTACAGTATGCATATCGAATGCATATCCAAGATGGCGGAATACACGCTGCTTTTGATCAAAATAAGTCCATTTATTTCGAAAACCAAACAACATACGGAATAATTGTAAAGGAAGTTTATAGTTTAAATGTTCTTTCAAATAAGACAAACTTAATTTTTATTGCCACATCCCTTGAAGTAAAACAAGTTCTCCATGTTAGATTTGCTCCACCAGTGGACTTAAGTGAGTTCTGGATAACCGAATCAATGGGAGTATCTGTGTCACCTTGTAGCTACATGCGAAGCACCAAAACTGTCAGCCCAAGAACGGACTGAGGTGAAGATAATTGAGGAGTCATGCAGCTTAGAACATAAGAAAATGGACTATGAAATAACCTTGGAAAAGGAATACGAAAGAATTGCCCGACAACTATACCCATGTAGTCCGAAAAATCGAAAGCACTGAGCGCGGTTACTTTCACAACCAGATCATGCAGAGGGCTATAACAGTCAAATGAAGGAGATGGGAGACATTAAGTTTTCTAGAAAGCTGAATTAGAAAGAAATAGAAGAATGGAAGGGACCTACGAAGGCAACCTCGTACCCAGGGTATTTGCTCTTGGGGAACGAAATACCCTGGTATGGCCTGGTCATGTGACCCGCGGATTTTGCGTAAAATGGCGTATTGTTTACTAGGGTGGGGGGAGTGAGTATACATTGTCACTCCTAGTAATTAAAATTTAAAAGCGTGATATAATTACTAGGAGTGACAATGTATACTCACTCCCCCGACACTAGTAAACAATACGCCATTTTACGCAAAATCCGCGGGTCACGTGACCAGGCCATACCAGGGTATTTCGCTCCCCAAGAGCAAATACCCTGGGGACGAGGTTGCTACGAAAGAGTACGCTCGTGGGGATCGTGCAGCAACATACAACGGCCATGCCCTAAACGACCACTGCACGGTAAAAAGGACCGACTTGTTGAGCAATTTATTTGGCGTCATCCTCCGTTTCCGAGAGAACTCAATGGCTATTTCCGGAGATATTTAAAAAATGTATCACATGATGTCTGGCGAAACTGCGAGACCGAAAAGGAGCCGGATATTACGTAAAAACTGCTCTAACCTTCGAAGACCGACCAGCGCCTGCCATTGCTACGACTGCAATGCGAAAGACAGCCAGTCTAAAGGCTGATTTCCACTGTTGCGTTTTTCATACCTATGTATACGCACGTACAACTTTAAATCCGTTTAAATGTTACTTATGAAATAACCAAATAGATAAAGCAACAGAATTTAGTGTTCCGCAAGTTTTAGTATCCATTTGTTAATTTTTTTGTAAAATATTTAAAAAATAGAAGGATTCAAAGTTTTACGTGCGTGTACGCGCGTACGAGAAACGCAACAGTGGAAATCAGCCTTAAAGGAAGATCTCAAGCCTAGAGCTGCAGAAGCGATTGTCAAGAATGCTTATGTTGACGATATACCTTATTATAGGAAATAAACGATGCACTTTATTAACGCGACATAAATTAACGTGTCATCTAATTAACGCGAATTGCTTTCAGGCACTTCTAAAATTGATTAAATTAACGCGAATATGACAGTTTATGGTTAAAAGTTAATTTAACTAACGCGAGTCTAAGAATATAAACACAACAGCAAAAGTTTAATATTATATACTACCAATTAAAACAGTACGCGAGTGGATATGTCAAAACTGTAACGTTAAAAGTTAAGGTGTTTAAGCCAATGTATATAAAGTATATAGTTCAGCTTAAGGTTCTGCCGACAGTGACAGTGAAGAGGTGGACTGATGTTTTTGTTTTGAGGTTTAATGTAATGTATTTTGTTAAAAGAGTTCGTGTTATATAACTTATATAAAACAAATCAAGGTCTTTTTAATTAACGATAACTATATAAAATTTGCATGCTTGAAATTAACGATAACATAAGTTAACATTAATTAAATTAACGCGAATTTTTAAAATCCGCGTTAATAAAGTGCATCGTTAATTTCCTATCATAAGGTCCTTTACCACCAAGGAAGAATCCAAAGATCTTACGTCAGATATCGATGAATTACTCGAATCAGGCGGTATCCATATAAAGAGATGGATATCAAATGCACCAATCAACGGAGAAGAATTATCGGATGAGCAAGTTATAGTCGGCAGTAAAGATAATACTAAAAAGGTTCTTGGAACTGTTTGGATACCCAAAGAAGACAAACTTTTGTACAAAATTAAGACCGAGTCTGCAGCTGACGTAACGACCAACCGAAGTCCTGTCGTTCCGTCAAAGTTGACAAAGCGAACTTAGCAAAGTAAACTTGCAGCCATCTTTCACCCAATTGGAGTTGCAGCGGCCATTGTAATCAAATCGAAGATTGCCTTACAAGAACTGTAGCAGCTCTGTCTGAAGTTGGATGATGAAGTTCCATCCGCCTCGAGAGAAAGTGGATCGTATCTTCAAATAAATTAGAAAGCTCAATCATGTTAAATTTGATCGTTGTCTAACGCCATCTGAAGCATTTCTAAAAACAAAACCCTGTCTTACTGTGTTCTGTAATGCATCTCGTTACTGTACTTGAATAGTATTTTTGAGACGTCAGCTTGTAGCAAAGCAAACATTTTATGGAGTTCTTTTACTTGGAACGAAGTCTTTTTAAGAAGTAACGTTTTACTTTGTTATTTTCATTTTGTGGCGAAGTATTTCGTTACTTTCTCGCATTTGTTTAATTTTACTTTTACTTTGTACTTCATGTATTTCTTAAGGATACTTTGTACTTTTAACTTAAGTACGTTTTGCTTCCAATACTTTTTACTCTTAATCAAGTCGTTTTATTTTTAACTACTTCTACTGTCACTCGAGTACAAATTCAAAGTAATTTAGGCACCACTAAATTTGTTCTTAGCAAGTGCCCTAAAGAGAGGCATTCACCCCCTGGAATATTAAATTTTCAATATGTTTTCAGGGCGGTGACTGCCTCTCTTTAGGGCACTTGCTAAGAACATGGCGGACCGAAAAAATCCCTTACGCGAAATTAACCTGAAGTGAGATCTCTGTATGTACTTCCTCTGTGACTGGGGCGAAATAAAAGAAAACAACGATGGCGGCCAGCACGAAGTGATATTAAAGTAAACCAACAAATTATTTTAAATTTTGTTGTTGAAGAACGGTTAGCAACGACGACGGACATCGTCGGAAAAATGTGCGTTTACCTATAGTTTCCGCAATTTTGAACTTTATTTCTTTAGATCTATGTTGTAAACGTTGTCTGTATTCGTGTCTAATGTTGAACAGTTTAACAGGAAACAGTTTTAAAAGAATATGACGGCAAGGTTTTTCCAACAGTCGGGATAGTTTTTTGCTATTTGTTTGAAGTTATGTTTCGGAATTTTAAATAAGTTTTAAATTGTTCGGCATGCAAAATTTATACTAATAACGTATTTTGGTATACAAAATTAATACTAATAAGGTATATACTTAAATAATTACAAAATTAGTGAATTCTGGTAATATATTGGAGGACATAATTATAAATTTGAATAATGAGGGACACAACATGCATGCTAGTGATCCATGGCAGACACAAATTCTACGCGTGCGTTCGTTTAGTGCATGTTGTTCACCTCAGGGTTTATTTTAACGTGCAGTTCTACACAAAATGTGCAGTTCTAAACCCATTTGTGCAGTTCTTAAAACACAAATGTGCAGTCACCAAACGAACAAAAATAGCCTTAAAACAGTCTTCTCATTTATTCGTTACCTTTGTGGATGCTTCAGAAAATGCCAGAAATGCTGTCATTGCATGAGCATCAAAAATATAAACGTTTTCTGGGAGAGGATCCCAGACCCTCCTATTTTCCTCACAAATCACTTACGTGCTGGAGTAATGGAAAAGAAGGTAAAGTTGGGGCGAGCGAAGCTCCCCAAAAGAGATTAGAGTGGGAGAACTTAATATTCTTTGCCGCCTGAAAAGCAAATTTAAGGTTGTTATATATTGAATATCCATGATTCCAAGTTACATGTTTTGAAACTGTTTTTGTGTGTGCATGGTTGTGTAAAACAAATCTTTGCCAGAACTTAAGAGCCTCTAGATTCAAATTGTTTTGGGAACATGCCCCCCACTCCTAGCTCCCGCACCCAAATTCGCCCACCCAAACACACCATTATTCTGTCATTAGGGAGCTTAAGCATGTAGGACGGCAACACGACGACGACGGCAACCAATACAATGAGTCAATGAAAATAAATAAATAATTAAAGTCCCGGGGGAGTTTGAGACGTAGTCGTCGATCTGTTTACGGTTAACGCGGGCAAATCAACGATTTTCACGGCTTTTATACAACGCCTGCATTTCAAGCCGTAACAAGTGCAACTTAAAATTCGGTTCAGTAGAACTCTTCCCAAAACTAAAGCCAATGTTTTCAACTTCTTATACTGTATTAACTTCATACGAATTATAATATACGACAAGTTTTCTTTACTATCATTTATTTGAAGGAATTTGTTTTGGCCGTCGTCGTCTTGCCGTCCTACATGCTTAAGCCCCCTAATTATAT